CAAGTAGCGGAATGCTACAGAGGTAAACAAACAATATCATTTGGAAGAGGATTAATAAGTGTTGACATTCATACAAATGAGTAATCCTGTAAACGTAAACAGAATATTTTATATAGATTTTTTTTAATGAAAACTTAAAATCCTGCATTATTTTCCGGACAACCCAATAGTATGAAATTAGCACCTCCAGAGACCCCTGAATATAGATTTTTATTTGTATTTGAATTTTTTATATCTTTGCCCCTTAAAATTTTTCCGATTTTTGACAAGTCGTTATATCTGATATATCGTATATCTGACTGAACCGACTATAACTGTAAAAACGGCTAAATGGATTTTAACGACAGACCGTTTGAAAGAAGAGGATCGCGGTTTTTAACAACGAACGTATAATTAAAATATATAAAATATTTCTATAAGAAAATACACAAAATAACAAAATTATTTGTCAGAAATTAACCTTATGTTTTAATGATTATTTGGAGGCCGTGAGATGCGGTCTGGTATGACGTAGGTTTCAGAAAAATGTCTTCTTTATCATGCCAACGTTTCGATCTTTATTGAGATCATCTTCAGGGCCTGGGACTGCATCTCACACCTCCAGAAGATAATCATCAAGTAACGGTCACTAAACACCACACATCTCATTTTTTAAATTGAAATAACAGTCAGATTTTACTGTTTGATACAGTTATAAAATGTCCTTGACAATTTCTTTAAAACTAATTATCAACCGTGAAAATCGGTCCACTAGCTTTTGAGAAAAATGATGTTAGAGCTTGCACTAGCAATGTCACTCAGGCAAAATTTGAACTGAAAAACTTGAGGTATTTATGAAATTACTTATTCTCACATATCAACGAAGACTCCACTTTTCCAATAAAAACGTGTTCATTTTAAATGAGATTTAAAGGAATTCTTAATAAATCAACTTAAGGGGATTAATAAATCTTTTCGACTTTTAGTTATGTTAGTTAATTTTTTGACTGATAATTTCGATGACCTCTTTGCCTTACTGACATTCCTAGTGCAAGCTGTAACATCATTTTTCTAAAAGCTAGCTCTGATGGAGCTGTTAAGACGATGGGGAAGAGAAATGGTCGCTTAAAATTGATGAAAGATGAGAATCGAAAAATGCTCCTTGTGCATTGTTTTATTCACAGGGAAAACCTGGTAGCTAAAATATGTTTTTTACTGTTCTCCATTAAGTACTAAATTATAAAGTGTATCAATGCTATTAAAGCTAGCGCCAAATGTGAACGTCTCTGAACAAAATGAAGACCATTTGAGACTTATATCTTATGTAAGATGGCTCTAGAAAGGGAACTTCCTGAAAAGATTCTGGAATTATTTTATACTCACAGTGATTTTTTAAGTGACAAACCCTAAATGAAAAATCTGTTAATGGTTGATGGTAAGGCGTTTGTGAGTTATTCAGCCGATATCTTTGAAAAATTAAATAAACAACTTCAAGGAACAAATAACTCTCTTGCAAAACCGATATTTGTTTTATTGGATTATGTCAGATATTTGCAACAAAATTTTTTAAAAGTTTCATTTGCTCCAAAAATGTGGAATATCATCTGAAAATTTTATTGACTGCTACCAGGTCATCTGCATAACCTATTGTATGGAATCCAAAGATTATGTAATGTACTACGAGGAACCATAGAAGTAGGGTCAAAAAAAGTTTCATTTGCTCCAAAAATGCGGAATTTCGTCTGAAAATTTTACTGTCTGATTTAAAGATTTGAAAAAAAAATTATATCCCAATTTGTATGATGCAGCCAATGTTACTGGATTTGTCTGATATTTCAAATATGTAGTATCAACAAGAGCTCGCACAAATGCAAAATCAATTCGTGCAATCAGACAATTAAAACTTTACTTAATATAAAAGGAGCGATGGCATGGTTTTGTGAGGAAACCAAAATCATCCAAATGCGACCCAATGTGCAAGAGTTATCGTTTCCATCTTCATATTTAGCCGAATTTAGTGCCAATGATTTACTGCTAATAAAACGAAATCGGTTGGATATAAGAAAAT